GGACTACCTTGTAAACCTGTGTGTTAAGGTAATAACCCTCCCCCATAACTAATGTATACTTTTTTAAAACTCAAAAAAAATTCCATTGATGCTTGATACCGTGTCCTCATGAAGCTGCACCATGTTCAAATTAAGCTGTTGATGGGGCTGGGAAGGTGGCTCAGTGGTAGAGCGCTTGCCTTGTGTGCGTGAGGCCCTGGGTTTGGTTCCTCAGCACCACATAAGCAGGAAAAAAAAAAAAAACAGAAGTGGAGCTGAGTCTCAATTGGTATTGCTCTAGCCTTGAGCTGAAGAGCTGAGAGACAGTACCCAGGCCCAAAGTTCAGGCCCCAGGACCAATAACAGCAATAAAAGCCGTTGATGTGCCACATCCACCTTCCTTCATACTTAAGATCTTGCTATTTAAAGGATCATAGTAATCTGTAACATTGTGTGTTTTATTGAGTCCAGTACATTTTCTACATTCTTTTTGAGACATCAGAGTTAGAGAGCAGGCCTTATTCTCAAGTTCTCATCTGGTTTGTGCTAATTGGCACATATTAACTAACATAAATACATTAGAATATTGACAGTTCCGAAAAAGAAGCAACTGTAGAGCAGTAATAACTGAAAATATATAGAGAAGTGGTAAGTAGTCAGGACAAACGATAAGTTCTAACTATGGAAAAGATATATTGAAAAAATTTAAATGCTAGTTAAGAGTTAAGGCAGGTTTCATTCTATGGCTTATGTAGTCATCACTTTTTTTGGGGGGGGAGAGGGACGGGTCAGTCTTGGGGCCTAAAATCTGGGCCTGGGTGCTGTCCCTAAGCTCAAGGTTAGCACTTTACCACTTGAGCCACAACACCACTTTGGCTTTTTCTGCTTATGTGGTGCTGAGGAATTGAACCCAGGGGCTCATGCATGCAAGCAAGCACTATACCACTGAGCCACCTTCCCAGCCCATCACATTTTTTGTAAAGAGAAATTACTTAGAAAATGCTGAGAATACTCTGGAACAAAAATATGTAGAAAAGACCATTTTAGCAATTTTAGCTGTCACTGAAGGTGGAGGATTAGTGTGTCCAAATTATGCTAGAATACAAATAGGTAGGATAGAATTTACAAAGCAATCTTTATACCATTTAGTGAGTGACTAAATATGGTAGGAGATAGCACTGAACAAGAGTGTCATCATATTTGCAAACTAGGAGCATGAGGGATAAGCCAGATGTTTTTTTATGCAGCAGCTGTTAGTTCAATGTGGTCTTCCTTTTAGTCTGACCATGTTAGTGACAATGACTTAGGACAGGCATCTAGGTGTTATGGAACTTGTACAGATAACACCTACCTAATCCCGCTCTGCTGTCTAGCTCTCTTCAGGTCCTAATAACTCTAGACAACCTGGCCCATGTCTTTTACATTAATACTGAAGTGCATGTGTTCTTATGTATCACTTTATTACATATTAGGCCCACAATTTTTCTAAAAGGGGGAATTGTTTTTTTTTTTTTTTTTTTACTTTTTTATTGTAAAGATACTATACAGAGAGTTACAGTTACATGAGCAAGGTAATGAGTACACTTCCTATTGAGCATTGTTACCCCCTCCATTGTTTTCCCCCTACCATCCCTTCCTTCCTCTACCTTCCCCAAGGTTTGTTTTTTTTTAATTGTGATCAAGTGATTATATAATTTCCCAAATTTCACAGTATTGTGGAATAATGATGCTCATTTAAAGTCACAAGTTCAGTCTAACTTTCCTGGAGCAAATTGTCTATCACAGTCTATAACGGTGTACACATATACACCATACATGTGATCAGCAGCATGGGGATATTTAGTAGTGGTTCGACCAGATGAGTGGGAGTTCTTTGTTTCTTAAGTCCTGTTAATTTTGTCGTATCACCTAACATTTTGGATTTAACATCCACTTATCAGGGAGACCATGTACCGTTTGTCTCTTTGCTCTTGGCTTACCTCGCTCAACATGATTCCTTCTAGCTCCATCCATTTCCCTGCAAATGCCATTATGTTGTCATTTCTAATGGCTGCATAATATTCCATTGTGTATAGATACCACAATTATTGGATCCATTCATCTGTGGTGGGGCATCTGGGTTGTTTCCATATCCTAGCTATTGTGAACAGTGCTGCAATAAACATGGAGATGCACGTGTCCTTGTATATTGGTTCCTGTTATTCAGGGTAGATGCCTAGAAGTGGTATGACTGGGTTGTAAGGGAGGTCAATCTTTAGCTTTCTAAGGACCCTCCAGACTGCTTTCCAAAGTGGTTGTGTAAGTGTACATTCCCACCAGCAGTGTAATAGGGTTCCTCTTTCTCCACATCCCCTCCAGCATTTGTCATTGGCTGCTTTGTGGATGTAGGACATTCTGACTGGGGTAAGGTGGTATCTCAGGGTTGTCTTTATTTGCATTTCCTTCACCACCAGGGATGATGAACATTGGGGGAATTGTTTTTTGTTTTTTGGCCAGTCCTTGGGTTTGAACTCAAAGCCTGAGCACTGTCTTTGAGCTTTTTGCTCAATGCTGATCCTCTACCATTTAAGCCACAATGCCACTTCTGGCTTTTTCTGTGTATGTGGTAATACGAATAAAAACTAGGGCTTCGCCAGGCGCCGGTGGGTGGCTCACGCCTATAATCCTAGCTACTCAGGAGGCTGAGATCTGAGGATTGCGGTTCAAGGCCAGCCAGAGCACCAAAGTCCGTGAGACTCATCTCCAATAAACCAATAGAAAACCAGAAGTGGTACTGTGGCTCAAGTGATAGAGCGCTCACCTTGAGTTGAAGAGCGCAGGGACAGTGCCCAAGCCCAGAGTTCAAGCCCCGCAACGGACAAAAAAAACAACTTCATGCATGCTAGGCAAGCACTAGCTTCATGCATGCTAGGCAAGCACTCTACCACTAAGTCACATTCCCAGCCCAAAATGGGCATTTTTATTTTCATAGTTCCATTGAGCTCTTTTGGCTTACACTTATAATCTTAGCTATTCAGGAGACAGATCTGAGGGATCTGGCTTCAAAACCAGCCAGAACAGAAAAGTCTGTAACTCTCATTCCCAATTAACTGGCAAAGTGCCAGACTGGAGGACTAACTCAAGTAGTTAATCACCAGGAATGGGCAAAAAAGTTGAGTGAGAAGCCTAAGTACATGCTCTGATACTAGCACCAAAAACAAAAAATTATCTGGAAAAGTAAGGTTCATTCATTTATTCAAATAGTTTGTGATGAATACAATATAGCAAAACACTGTGAATCCCCCAAAGACTTAAAAGTGGGAGAGTTTATTAAGTGCAGTCAGTATAGCTCCAAAGGTATGCACAGCATGTCTTAGAAGTACAAGGGGACAATTCTTTGACTTAGAAATGAAGACAGTATCATGCAAAATTTGTGAGGGTAGTTTTTCTTCCCCACCTCTACTAGTAGAAAGAACTCTCCATTTATGGGGGAAATAACAATTTAAATATTTTATATCCATGTTTTTCAACTCTAGCTTTTTAAAATTTTTTTCTGCCGGTCCTGGGGTTGAACTCTGGGCCTGGGCACTGTCCCTGAACTTTTAACACTCAGGCTAGTGCTCTACAATGTGAGCCACCATGCAATTTCCAGCTTTTTTGGAGGTTTTTTTTTTTTTTTTTGTCAGTTGTAGGGCTTGAACTCTGTGCCTGGATATTGACCCTCAGCTTAAGGCAAGCACTCTACCACTGGAGCCACAGTGCCACTTCGTTTTCTGGTGGTTAACTGGAGGTGAGTCTTATGGACTTTCCTGTCCAAGCTGGCTTTGAACTGTGATCCTCAGATCTCAGCCTCCTGAGTAGCTAGGATTAAAGTGTGAGCCACCAGCACCAGGCTTTCTGAGTAGTTTTTATTGGAGATTAGAGTCTCACAGACTTTCCTGTCCAGGCTGGCTTCAAACCACAATCCTTTTACCTCATTCTCCTGAGTAGCTAGGATTACAGGTGCGAGCCACTGGTGTGTCTTTTTCTTTTTTATGTCAATCCTGGGGCTTGAACTCAGGGCTTGGGCATTGTCCCCAACCTCTCTGTGTTCAAGGTTAGCACTTTACCACTTGAGTCACAGCGCCACTTTTGGCCTTTTATGTGGTACTTAGAAATCGAAACCAGGGCTTCATGCATACTAGGCAAGCACTCTGCCACTAAGCCACATTCCCAGCCCTCTTTTCTTTTCTTTTTGGTAGTTGTATCTTAATGCTGATGTCTGAGCCCCTGAGACTTTAATTTTATTGGTCTGGGTGGGTCCAATATGTGATAAAGATATACATTATTAAATATTGAATTCAGATTTTTTCAAATTGGTTATGCAAAAGCCTCCATGAAAAAGCATCACGTATATGACTTTTTATTTTTATTTTTTTAATTTTTTTTGGGGGGGGGTCTGGTCGTGGGGCCTGAACTCTGGGCCTAGGCGCTGTCCCTCAGCTCTTCAGATCAAAGCTAGCGCTCTACCACTTGAGCCACAGCGCCACTTCCGGCTTTTTTCTTTATGCTTATGTGGTGCTGAGGAATGGAACCCAGGGCCTCGTGCATGCAAGGCAAATGCTCTACCACTGAGCCACCTTCCCAGCCCCTGTATATGACTGTTTTAAGCCAACTAATTAGAAGTACTATGTAACTTTAATATTGAAACTAGTACTATTTATAAAAACTCATTATTAAAATTATTGATACCTGGCTGGGAAAGTGGCTCAGTGGCACAGTGCTTGCCTTGCATGCATAAGGCCCTGGGTTCGATTCCTCAGCACCACATAAGCAGAAAAACCAGAAGTGGCACTGTGGCTCAAGTGGTAGAGCGCTAGCCTTGACCTGAAGAGCTAAGGGACAGTGCTCAGGCCCAGCGTTCAGGCCCCATGGCTGACAAAAAAAAGAAAAAAATATATAATATATAGATAGATACCTAAACTATTGTAAAAATCCTATCTTTTCACAATAAAACTTAATGATATGTGAGAATAAAGCTATTTTATCAGGCAATAGCAAGCTCAATTTCTGTTTCAAATTCTTTATTATACATCATGGTTGCACAATTTGAGGTTGGTTAAGTACAATTGGTTTTCAGAATCTTGACTATTTTCTAGATTACTGCATGCAAGTGACCATGAAAATATTTGGCATTTTAAAATTTTGAAACTCTGAACAGGCACTTACATGAAAGATAACATTACCATTTATAGATGCTCCAGCACATGGTACATGGAACCTTTGGCCAGTAAAGAAGTTGGTTACTGACTTATCAAAGTGCCATAGTAGTAAAATAGGCTTAAAGAAATGTAATTTGCGTTATTTAGCTTACTCATAAGGTAAGGTTAACCAACTTGCACTGAAGTATATTAAAAAATATTGGTACAAAAACCAATGAACTTTATTAAGTGAAAGTAGTTTTCACATAGCAGGCCTCGTTTTGGTTCCCACAGTCCACATTTAGTGTATTTGCCACCAGACTCCATGCATTTGAACAGATGATTGCAATCTTTGCTATAGACACTGAATTTAGTGTTAAAGAAAAATAAGAATAGGGTGAAGTTTAAATGTGACTTTGAACTAGCTAAAGATCCACGTAACACAAAATTGTCCAGGTCTAGTTAACTATAGATGTGTCATCGGACCTGCTAAGTCCACCAACCCCGATTTTCTACTGAAAAGTAAATAAACCTGTAAAATCAAGAAAATGGTATTTGCATACACATGGCAAAAATATTTCTTAAATTAAAAAATATACATGTTTCAAAGAATTTATGGAAAAATTACATAGTTTTAATAAGTTCTAATATGCCAACATATGTCACCTCTATATTGCAACAAATGTCCTGCTGGAGAGTAGCGGAATGGCTACTTAATATGGGGGGAAAGAGTGCCACAATGACATGCCACATAATCCCTTGGCAAAAAAAATTTAATAGTTATGTTGTAGAAGACTCCAAAAAGAGATCAAATGCAAGAAGCCATGAAATGGTAGGCCCAAAACATCTACAGTGAAACATTCCACATACATTTCTGAAATGCATATGTAAAAATACAATTTTCAAGAAATATTGTGAAGGTATGTTTTAAAACTATAGAATGTAAGGGCCACTCAGATTTTATAATTGTATTTGAACATAAAAAATTAATTTTTTGCATGAAGAGAAGAGGTAATCTTAGCATGAAAAAGGAGGCCTTAAAATCAACATTATTCAGAAAGAAAGCAAAATTTACAAATACCAGCCAACTCACATGGAAATCCTTAAATGGCTATGCTAACGCATATCTGAGTGCTTATCAGTGTGCAGTAAAAAAAAAAAAAGGCAGCTTAAGAAATCTCCAGTGTTTCAAAGCACTTTTTAAAATGTACAATACATGAAAAACATTTAGTTACACTATAAAATAAAAATGCAGCACTGTAAGATAAAAGGAAGACTATTATATGTGGAATTTTGGCCTTTTTCCTGCTACAAAGCTGCAACCATCTTGAACCTGCTCAACTTAAAGGTTACAGTTTTTTGTTGTTCTTGCTTCCTCCTATTCAGTTCACATTTCAGGCTGCTCAGCAGATGCTTGTGATTCTGGAGATTCAAATCGCTGGTGAAAGTTTGTTCTCTGTTTCCTCAGTTTTTCAGGAGCTTTTCTCCACAAAATAATCTCCTAGAAAACCAAATTAATATTTTCAAGAAATTAATGTTCTCCATCATGCCTCAAATTTTCACCACAGAAATATGAACTGCAACTTATCCTCCCCAATTTCAATATTTAATATTTCAATATTTAATATTTAAATATTTAATAATTAGATTCATTCAGAAGATAAAGGACTGTTATACATTCACCAAGGGCTTAAATTTCCCATGAAGAACAAGTTCTAGAACACTTTAGTATTAAAAAAAGAGTATTAAGCCGGGCGCTGGTGGCTCACGCCTGTAATCCTAGCTACTCAAGAGGCTGAGATCTGAGGATCGCGGTTCAAAGCCAGCCCGGGCAGGAAAGACCGTGAGACTCCTATCTCCAATAAACCACCAGAAACCCGGAAGTGGCGCTATAACTCAAGTGGTAGAGCGCTAGCCTTGAGCTGAAGAGCTGAGGGACAGCGCCCAGGCCCAGAGTTCAAGCCCCACGACAAAAAAAAAAAAAGAGTATTAGAATTGGATCATCTCACGGACATTTATAACAAAAACCCCCAAATCTATTAAATAAATACAGCCATTAAAAGTAGTAACTGGATCCGGGCACTAGTGGCTTATTCCTATAATCCTAGCTACTCAGGAGGCTGAGATCTAAGGACCGCAGTTCAAAGCCAGCCAGAAAAAGTCCATGACACTTATCTCCAATTAATTGTCAGAAAACCCAGAAATGGACCTGTGGCTTAAATGGTACAGTGCTTGCTTTGGGCAAAGCTAGCTCAGGAAAGTGTCTAAGGCCCTGAGTTCAAACTCCAGGACCAACACACATGCACACGCACACACACAGTAGTAACTGGGCTAGGCACGGTGGTTCATGCCTGATGTCTAACTATTTGGAAGACAAATCAAATTTCAGTGCCAGGTTGGGTGGGAACTTAGCTAGCCCCTACCTCAACAAACCATGATGACATGTGCCTATCATCCCAGCTACACTGAAAGTATGAGTAGGAAGAATGTGGTCTGAGACCAGCCCTAGGCAAAAACACAAATCATTGTCTAACAACTGAAGCCGGGCACTGGTGGCTCACAACTATAATCCTAACTACTCAGGAAGCTGAGCTGAGGATCACAGTTCAAAGCCAGCCCAAGCAAGAAAGTCCATGAGACTTCCTCCCCGCCCCGCCCCCAACCCATTCCTGGAGCTTGAACGTGGCTTGGGCACTGTCCCTAACCTTTTTTGTGCTCAAGGCTGGTGCTCTACCACAGCGTCACTTCCAGCTTTTTCTGAGTATTTTATTGGAGGTAAGAGTCTCACGGACTTTCCTGTCTGAGCTGGCTTCAAACTGTGATCCTCAGATGTCAGCCTCCTAAATCGCTAGAATTACAAGTGTGGGCCACCAGTACTTAGCCTCCACGAGACTCTTGTCTCCAATTAACTATCAAAAGAAAAAACAAAGCTGGAAGTGGAGCTGTAGCTCAAGTGGTAGAATGCTAGTCGAGCAAAAAAAGCTCAGGGACAGTGCCCAGGACCTGTTAAAAAAACAAAAAACAAAAAAAACTTTACAAATTAGCTAACTTTATAGAGTCTTGCAGAATGATCATGGTGGAATCAATCATAATAGCTACATTTTTAATATACCTTCAGTGTTTTAGAAATGCTAATTTAATACAATAAAACTTAAAAAAAAAAAAAAAAAAAGCCAGGAGCTAGTGGCTCACGCCACCTACTCAGGAGGCTGAGATCTGAGGATTGCGGTTCAAAGCCAACCCGGGCAGGAAAGTCTGTGAAACTCTTATCTCCAATGAACCAACAGAAAACTGGAAGTGGTGCTGTCATTCAAGTGCACACTAGCCTTGAGCTGAAGAGCTGAGGGACAGCGCCCAGGCCCAGAGTTCAAGCCCCACAACAGACCAAAAAAAAAAAAGACAACTTTAAAAAGTGTACTGTCTAGGTGTTTTTAGATCTGCTGCAGAATCAAAGATCAGCATGGGTAGCACCTTACCTGCTGCTTGAAGTACCTTCTGTCTTCCTCATCAACAAGTACTAGGTTCAAAAAATACCTTACTGAAAATTTTTTATTCACATCTCTCATTGTTGGAGTTGGGTCATATCCTGCTAAAAACAATCTTATTGGAATTGATTCACCTGAAAGAAAAGAAATTTCTATTTAATGTAAATGATGATTTACAGTCACCCAAAACCTAGTATTAATTAAGCATTACAGTAAATATCAGTGTTTTGGTTCCTTATAATACAGAACAACAGCATTTCTCTGGCACTATATAATTTGGGGCCAGAAATTCTTTCTGTGGAGAGGTCTTATCCATATTTATTAGCAGCCTGGCTTCTACCAGAAACACTTATCAACATGATACCAGAAACACTTATCAACATGACATTCCAAAATCTCCACAATGTTAAATATCCCTTGGAATGAGAACCACTGCTCTAAGAAAGCCTGCCTAGCAAGCTCAAGACCCTGAGTTCAAACCCAATAAACAACAACAAAAATGTCATGATAAGCATTGCTTTAAGAATTTAAAAAAAAAAAAAAAGAAAATATTTCTTCTGAGACTTAAATACGTAGGGACACACAAAACTGTTAGCAATTACTCATTTATAAAGTTTGGAGATTGTAACAACAACAACAAAAAAAAAAGAATTAAAAAAAAATAAGCTGGGAGTCAATGGCTCACCCCTGTCATCTAGTTACTCAGGAAGCTGAGATCTGAGGATCAGGTGGTCCAAAGCCAGCCTGGAGAGGAAAATCCATGAGACTCTTATATCCAATAAACTACCCACAAAGCCAGTCGTAGAGCCCATGGAAGAGTACTAGCTTTGAGCAGAAGCAGCTCAGGGACAGCACTCAGGCCCTGAGTTCAAGCCCCAGGACTGGCAGGAAAAAAAATCAAAACTAGTTTCACACTGAATGCTCACTTACTCTTTTTTTTTTGGTCAGTTGTGGGGCTTGACCTATGGGCCTGAGTGCTGGTCCTTCAGTTCTTCAGCTCAAGGCTAGTACTCTATCACTTGAGCCACAAGGCCACTTCTGGCTTTTTCTGTTTATATGGTGCTGAGGAATCGAAGCAAGAGTCTCATGCATGAGAGGCAAGTACTTTACCACTGAGCCACCTTCCCAGCTCCTCACTTATTCTTAAACTGTCATAAACACTGCCATTGGCACTATAGAAAGTAATAAATGCAAGTGGGTACCTTTAACTGGTGCACCATCCATTATTTCATATTTGGCAATTGTTTCCGTTTCTGTAGTGGTACTGGGTCCTAATGCAGTAAGGTAAATAATGTTAATTAATTTCCAAAATATTATACCCAGCCCTGTTTCTTCATCCTATTTTCTAACACATTAATACATTTTATCTTCCTATTTTGTGAAAGTATTCATTCTTTTCTAATTTTTAATCTCTACATAACATCCTCATCACTACCAAATGCTTTACACTCTTCTTTCCAAAAGTAATACGCAATTCAGAAAGTATCATCTTCATGTAGTTCACTTAAAATATCTGGTAAACAGAACTAGAAATGCCTATCAGAATTAACAATTATATTCAGGTTTTCTCTACAACTCCAAACTGTCTTCTTGGGAAATTAATTTGAACATAGAACACCAAACTGTGTAGCTAACTAATATATATGCATAAATGTTAAGATCTACCTCCTAAGAAATTATTTGAACTCAAAACATTTAGGTGCTGGTGGCTCATGCCCATAATCTGAGCTACTTAAGAGACTGAGTTCTGAGAGGATCCCACTTCAAGGCCAGCCCAGGCAGGAAAGTTCATGAAGATGCTTATTTACAATTAACTACCAAAGGCTAGAAGTAGAACTATGGCTCAAGTGGTATGTGTCAGATTTGAGCAAAAAGAGCCAAGGGACAGCCCCAGGCCCTGAGTTCAAGCCCCATTACTGGCACAAAATAAAAAAATGTAAAGTCAATGTTAATTTATACCAAGAGCTGGGAAGTGGGGATAGCTCAGTGGTAGAACACTTGCCTACTATACAAGAGAAGGCCCTAAATTCAATCTCTAACACCAGAAAAAACAATTACATATTTGTGTGTACACATACACATTCATATATACATGACCATGCACACATTTGTTTCAGGCAAGTGCTACCATACCTACTTTGTGATTTCTTAATCTCAACTTTTCTACCTGCTAGTAAAAATTTAAGTGGTTTTAGCCAGGTGCCGGTGGCTCATGCCTGTAATCCTAGCTACTCAGGAGGCTGAGATCTAAGGATCTCAGTTAAAAGCCAGCCCAGGCACAAAAGTCTGTCAGACTCTTATCTCCAATAAACCTTTAGAAAACCAGAAGTGGAGCTGTGGCTCAAGTGGTAGAGTGCTCACCTTGAGCTGAAGAGCGCAGGGACAGCGCCCAAGCCCAGAGTTCAAGCCCCATGACCAACCAAAAAAAAACCACATTAAATTGTTTTAAGGTACTAAAACTTTAGCCAAGAGTATCTGGGAGGCTGAAACAGGAGGATCATGAGCATATGGCCAGCTGAGAGGTACATAGTGAGACCTTGACTCAAGGGAAAAAAAGAGACAAGAGTCTCACCATGCTACTCAGGCTGATCTTGAACTCACCTCAAATCATTCTCCCGCCCAAACCTCTTAAATAGCTAAGTCTAAAGGTGCATCCCCCTGCATCTCATACATTTATTGTCAAAAAAAAGCATTATTTAGCCATTTATTAAGTAACAAAGTTAGTAGGTGGATATCAATTTTATGTTTAAAGAATTTAAGATTTCCAAAGTTTTAGCCAGGCACTGCAGTGGCTTACCTGTAATCTTAGTTAGTTACTCAGGAGGCTGAGATCTGAGGATCATAGTTTGGAGCCAGCCCAAGCAGACAAACCTGATAAGACTCTTATCCCCAATTAACCACCCCAAAAAAATGGAAGTGGAGCTCTTGCTCAAGTGGTAGAATGCTAAGCCTTGTGTACAATAGCTCAAGAACACTGCCCATGGGCTAGGATGGTGGCTCAGTGGTAGATTGCTTGCCTTGCATGTACAAGGCCCTGGGTTCCATTCCTCAGTACCATATAAGCAGAAAAAGCCGGAAGTGGAGCTGAAGCTCAAGTGGTAGGATGCTAGCCTTGAGCTGAAGGACAGCATCCAGGCCCAGAGTTCAGGCGCCAGGACAGGAAAAAAAAAAAAAAAGATTTCCAAAGTTTCAACTAACATTTTATTATAAATATTTCTCAACTTACCTATTCCTGTGATCTCTTTTTTTATTAGTTGTAATTCCATGTGCTGTATTTTTATTCTTACTAATAGGAAGTAAATTTTTCCAACAATCACATCCTTTAAATGATACCTATGAGAAAAAATATATATCATTATCACTTTCAAAACAAAAATAGTGAAATAGGCTGTGAAAGGTTTTAATAGGTGCCTTTAAGATATTTAAGAATATCACTTGACAATTCATATTGTTTTAATTTCCCTCTTTTTAAAAAAAGTAACTGGCCAGGTGCCAGTTACTAGCTACTCCTAGCTAGTAACTACTAGCTACTCGGGAGGCTGAGATCTGAGAATCGAGGTTCAAAGCCAGCCATGAGACTCTTATCTCCAATAAACCAGAAAACCGGAAGTGGTGCTGTGACTCAAGTGGTAAAGCACTCATGTTGAGCTGAGGGAGAGCACCCAGGCCTAGAGTTCAAGCCCTACTACAATAAAAAAAAAGTAACTGCTTCATTATGCAAATAAGCTTTTATTTGACCATCAAAATATCTCAGCAGGAATAACTAGCTTTATTAATCATTGTCCTACTTACAACTCAGTTTTCAGAAAAGCTAAGTACTTAATGGAATTTTCCCCCTCTGGTCCTGAAGCTTGAACTCTAGGTCTGGGTACTGTAGTATGCTACCATTTGAGCCACCTTCACACTTCCAACTTTTTCTTTCTTTCTTTCTTTGGTCATGGGCCACCTTGACGCTTCCAACTCCTTCCTTCCTTCCTTCCCTTTCTTTCTTTCTTTCTTTCTTTTGTCGGTCATGGGGCCTGAACTCTGGGCCTGGGCGCTGTCCTTCAGCTCTTCAGCTTAAGGCTAGCACTCTACCATTTGAGCCACAGCTCCACTTCCAGCTTTTTCTGCTTATGTGGTATTGAGGAATCGAGCCCAAGGCCTTATGCACGCAAGGCAAGCACCCTACCACTAAGCCACCTTCCCAGCCCCTCTTGTAGATTTTTCTGTAACTAACTGGAGATAAGAATCTCACCAACTTTCCTGCCCAGGCTGGCTTTGAACTATAATCCTCAGGTATCAGCCTCCTGAGTTGCTGGGATTCCAGGCATGACCCAGTAGGCACCCAGCTTAATGGAAAAATGGTATGCTTGAATTTTTTTTTTTCTGGTTAGTCATGGGGCCTAAACTCGGTCTGGTCACTATCCCTCATCTCTTCAGCTCAAGGCTTGTGCTCTACCACTTAAGCCACAGTGCCACTTCTGGCTTTTTCTGCTTATGTGGTGCTGAGGAATTGAACCCAGGGCCTCACGCATGCAAGGCAAGCGCTCTACCACTGAGCCACCTTCCCAGCCCCCTTAAAAAAAAAAGTTTATATTTATTTATATTTTTATGTGGTATTGAGGATTCAAATCCAGGTCTCATGCATGCTAGGCAAGCACTCTACCACTATTCCCAGGCCCCCACCCTTTCTTTTTTCTGCCAGTCCTGGGGTTTGACCTCAGGGCCTGGGAGCTGTCCCTAAACTTCTTTGCTCAGGCTAGTGCTCTACCACTTGAGCCACAACTCGCCACCAGGGGCTTTTTCTGAGTAGTTTATTAGAGATAAGTCTCACAACCTTTCTGCCTGGGCTGGCTTTGAATTGTGATCCTCATATCTTAGCTTCCTGAGTAGCTAAGATAACATGCATGAACCACCAACTCCTGGCTTGAAATTTTTATTTCAAGCAAAAAGTATGATGATATTTTTCAATATTGAAAGAGATTAGTATGGTTAGTACTGAAAGTGCCAAACAGAGCAACTAACGCAAGTTATCTGGGCACAAAAAGATTAACAGGGGCAATACATTCCCATTGGACTTGCTGCTATAATATCTGATAAGCAAAAGCCATTTATAGGATCTTTAAAAGCATCTGGTAGCAAACTTGAGGATCCTACAATAATCAGAAAAAAGCTTCTTCCCAAAGCTGAATCCCAAAGTAACATTCTAAGAATCGATTAATACAATTATGTAAGTCTGAAGGGAGGCTTCAATGACAAGTTTTGAGGCAAGTGACAAATAATAAATCACATCATAGAGTAATATGGAGGATAAAAGAAGGTACACTGTTTCTTAAAAAAAAAAAAAAAAACAGAAAACTTTGTCAGGTGCTAGTGGCTCACACTTACAACCTAGCTACTCGGGGAGGCTGAGATACGAGCAACACGGTTCAGAGCCAGCCCAGTCAGCAAAGTCTGTGAGACTCTTATCTCCAATTAACTACCAGAAAACCAGAAGTAGAACTGTTGCTCAGAGATAGAGCAATAGCCTTGAGCAAAAAAAACAGCTCAGGTACAGTGCTCAGGCCCTGAGTTCAAGCCCCACAACAAAACCAAAACAACAACAACAAAACAAAACACCACATTTTTAATAAATACATACTTCCCCTTCCTTCTTTCTGAAGAGGATTATTAATAGTGGCTAAATGGTAAAAATTTTAACATCCTTCAAATTGCCAATAAATAAAATGCATTGCTTAGGTAATGTCAAAAAAACAAAAAGATTTTATTAGTTTTAAAGAAATGCCCAGGACAAAGTGATATCAAGCTATAATAAATGATTACAGATGAGCCGGGCGCTAGTGGCTCACGCCTGTAATCCTAGCTACTCAGGAGGCTGAGATCTGAGGATTGCGGTTCAAAGCCAGCCCAGGCAGGGGAGACTGTGAGACTCCTATCTCCAATAAACCACCAGAAAACCGGAAGTGGCGCTGTAGCTCAAGTGGTAGAGTGCTCACTTTGAGCTGCAGAGCTGAGGGACAGCGCCCAGGCCCAAAGTTCAAGCCCCAGGACCGACAAAAAATAAATAAATAAATAAATGATTACAGATATAATGGTACTGGTTGCCTTCTGAGACAGTGAGATCCTCTACATGAAGTAGTCAAGCAGAGTCTCATCAAGAATAGAATATAAAACACACCTGCACTGGAAGCCAAATTTTGTTAGGCTGTTAGCATCAGTTAATGCCAATTCTATCCTTAAATTGGTCAATTTACAAAGTTCTTTAAAAGTCTCCTACATTAATCTGTGAAGGGTACTTACTTTGATTTATTATATTCAAACTCTATATGTAGACAATCTTCAATACCCACTTCCATCTTAATGGAGTTGTTAACATCAGGATAAGTGGCAAGCTGGTGAACAATAAGATCATACTCTTTCACCATATCTGTCAGTCTCCTCACTATTGTCACCTTAAGAAAATACCTATAAAGTTCAATGAAAAGAGTGATAAAAAAAACACGTAATAAATTTAAGTGTTTTAAATAAGGAAGCATAAACTACTCGCTGGAACTCCTTTGGTATCAACTTACTTCATTCAAAGCATTCATGTAAAGGAGTTCCTTTCTGAGGGGATAGAGGGGTGTCCTAGAGTTTGAACCCAGGGTCTCATGCAAGGTAATCACATGCTCTATCACTAAGTTATACCCTGAGTCCTCAGTTTTGTGTGTTTATGTGGTATGTGTAGGTATGTTTAATATTCTCAACACAGAAAAAAAAATTCAATTCTAAGAAAACATTTCAGATGTATTTGAAGGGCTATCATCAAACCTACTGGTGGAAAACTCTTCATATGACTGTTCTTTTTAGGTTGTTTAATCCCTTATTAAGGCACAACTGTTTGACATTCGAGCTGTCAAACCCAGTACTCAAATGGATACAGAAAAAGCAGGCTGTTGGACTTGATGCTTTTATCTCAGGTATTTCTGGCTTTTTGCATGAAGACTTGGTGAAGAGAAAGGCCACTGGACTGGAAAATTAAAACTGGTTCCTCCTTCAGTTTGTTACTCATTCCTTTTGCACAAGTTAGTCTCTGGGTTAAGACCTTATACTGAATGAGATTTGTAAGGTAACCAATGGATCTGGAGAGTAAATAAGTTTATATAGCAAAGGACAAATAATTTACATAAAACTTCTTATGATGGGTTGATCTGAATGTATGTTAGAAAGTCCTTACTGAGCTCATCATTAGCCAGATAAAACAAAATGTGGCAGAATGTTTTAAATTTTAAGTCTTTCATTCCAGAATTGTAACTGAAAGTTCAAATAAGACATCAATAGTAGCCACTACTTTCTGACTGACTCTGCTTAGAGTTTATAATATGCACTCGTACCTCAAGCGGACATTGGCACCAATGTAAGACTCATATGGCTTTTCAACTTGCATAAATTCAAAATCATAACTTCTGCTCTGAGTCAGTTCTCCAGGTAGGGCTAGTTCTTTCACTAGATTTACAAATTCGTGAGTATTACTCTTGTCATTGAAAAGTTCTAAGATTTAAAAAAGCAAAAAGAACAGTTATATTTAGTATCTATTTCAATAAACCCAAACTTCTATCTCAAAGCAAGTAATTTTACCAAAAGAATGAAGCTGATTTGTCTCTGATAAACTAGAGCTATAATCTGAATTTAATTACCCTCATTATTATGCTCCATTTTGGCATAAATTCGAAGAAACATAACACAATGATGTTTCTACTAGAAATGAGTTTCATTCCTTCAATGTAATTATAATTAGGCCTCTCCCAATGTGAAGCTGTTTGACACATTACCAGGAATAATTTGAATATTTCTCTTTAAGACAATAATTCTGTTGTCATTTTATTGATCAAACTATAACATATACAAGAATAAAACTAACCATCAGTTAATTACTGTAACTTTCCCCTTAAGCAGGATCTCATACAAAATAGGTATGTCCACTCATTAGTGTACAGTAAAACTTAGCTAGATTTTAAACCTACACTATAAAGATATGCTTTCTTTTCTCTATCTGTGAGACTAAAATATTTATATACAGATATGTATAATTTAACCCGCTACTAAATCAAGAATGTCTTTGAAATCATGTATGAAAATGTATACAATCTGACCTAAGTCAAGGATAAATTACTCCTTTCCTTTTCATATGTAATTTTCTGTTGACAGGTGAGTCTGACTGCAGGTACACACTAGGTCAGAAAGACAAATGGCATGGGTAATTAGCAAATGAAAGATGAAGGTGATGTTGGTAATTGTAAGGCTGATGAAAAACAATGGAAGTTTCATCAAGTCAGCTGATTTATGCAACACCTTTCATTTTCAGTAATGAACCCAATAGCAAAGGCAGAATGATTCAAACATTATTCCATACAATTGAGAGACACATGATTAAATACACTGTCTCCTCTTACGCAAAATCAACTCCTTCCTTCCATAAAGTTAAGCTCTAATGAAATTATTTAACCACCACATCCAACCCTTTTGAAACTCAGTTATCAAAGAAAAAAATATGCTATTTTAAAACTCACCAATTTGACCTACAAATTCAATTCTAATTCCTTGGTGTTCTAGCCTCTTTCCAGGTTGCTTAAAGGCTAGGTTTACCTGCCAAAACATGAAATTATAAGAGATGTTAACAGTTCTTTAAGTGGGCCTACTAGATTCCTTCCAGATGAAGGCAATACAAAAGTATTTCAGATATTAGTTTATGAAGTATAAGATGCCACCACATACTTAGAGTAGGATGACCTAGTAACACCAAAAGAGGTGTAATTTATTCATACAAAATCACTAATGAACCTATTACTTATACACTTACTTAAACACCAACTTTATTAGGAAGGAATCCCTCATCATAGCTGCAAAAAGTACAAAAAGAGGGGAAACAAAGGAGGAGGCTACAAAGCGTGATAAGAAATGTACTCATTATCTTGCCCATGTAATTGTAACCCCTCTGTACAGTATTTTCACAATAAAAAATAAATTTTAAAAAAAGTACAAAAAGATTCAGAGAGCTGAGGTCATGGCTCAAGTGGTAGAGGGCCTGCATAGTAAACCTAAGGCCCCAAGTTCAAAGCCCTAGTGCCACCAAAAAAAAAAGACTCAAAAGGAAAATCCTTCAACTATTTCTGTGTTTTCTGGCCATATAATAAAGCAGTTCTAGGACTAATAGCATTTTAATATGAAGTAATCACTAATTCCAAGAACAGACCTAAAAGATCATTTTCAGTTTTCTGTAGGCAAAAATATATTGCATAATATTTGCATAATAATTGCTGTAATTCCTAACCTTAAAAGTTAATGCTTACACTGTCCAAAAAGAAATGTACTCATTACCAGACTTATTTAACTGTAACCCCTCTGTATATCACCCTTATAGTAACAATTAAAAATAAAGGAAAAGCAATGCTTATTGCTCTGAGTCTGAAACTCATCCTAAAAACATAATGTCTTCAGGTTTAAATTTTAGATATTCTTTGTCTTACATGTTTGGAATTAATATATAATGTCAGAATCCTTTAGTCATATACCTGTCGAGCAGAAACCTTAAACTTATAAATTTTGATTTAAAAAGTATCTTGTAGCTGTGTGTAGGGAATCATGCCTATAAATCCTAGCTGCTCTAGAGGCTGAGATCTGAGGATTTGCTGCTCAGATTTGTCTGTCTAGGCTGGCTTTATACCATGATCCTCGGATGTCCTGAGTAATAGCTAAGATTACAGGTGTAAGCCACCAGCACCTGGTCCTGAGAATCTTATCTACAATTAACTAGCAAAAAGCTGGAAGTAAAGTATGTCTTAAGTGTCAGATCAACAGATGTGGAAAGAAAAAGTGCAAGAGTCCTGGAGTTCAAGCTCAGTGCCAACACACACACACACCCCTTGGGTTATTAGTGCTGAAGCTCAGTGCCAACACACACACACACACACACACACACACACACACACACACACACTCTTGGGTTATTAGTGCTGAAGCTCAGTGCCAACACACACACACACACACACACACACACACACACACACACACACACCCCTTGGGTTATTAGTGCTGAAGCTCAGTGCCAACACACACACACACACACACACACCCTTGGGTTATTAGTGCTGAAGCTCAGTGCCAACACACACACACACACACACACACACACACACACACACACACACACACACACACACACACACACACACACACACACACACACACACACACACACACACACACACACACACACACACACACACACACACACCCCTTGGGTTATTAGTGCTGAGAATTAAACCCAGGGCATTGCACATGTAATACACATGCTATACCATACCACACTACATTTCTGGGCCCCTGCTTTCTTTACTATAACAAATATTGGTAATGTGATCCTAAAAAGCTTTTCTTCAGTCAATCTTCTCAAAAGATTGTTTGAGGACCAATAACAAACTACTTTTGCAGAATGGATTATTATATGTCCCCTTCTATACTTATATCTTATAGTCAATGTGAAGTTACTTGCCTTAAAAATTAACATCTCAGAAGTAAATACATGTAGTGTATCATATGATAGAATATTAAAAGTTTAATAGAATGGAAGTTTTTAATGATGTGGGAAGATGTACATGGTATGTTACATGAAAAAAGCACAGTGAATTGTATACAAGTATAATGCCAATTAAACACTTTGAAACTACACAAGGAAAAAAAAATTTTTTTTGGTTCAGATCCTGGGGCTTGAACTCAGGGTCTAGATGCTGTCCCTGAGCTTTGATGTTCAAGGCTACTACCACTTCAGCCACAGCTCTACTTATTATCTTCTTATATCTTTTTTGGTAGCTAAGTGAAGAGTCTCACAGACTTACCTGCCTAGGCTGGCTTTGAACTGATATCCTTAGATCTCAGCCTCCTGAGTAGCTAGGATTGTTAAGTGTGAACTACTAGCACCTGGTTACAAAGAAGGTTACAAAGAAAATATTCTTAAAATCAGTTGCTTCTGGAATGATTATAAGTAATTTTTTTCTCTTCTTTGTAGCTGGGTTTGTGTGTGTATATGCATGTGTGTGTATGCATGCACACGCTGTAAGACATCCCTTCTATTTATAGTCTGTATTTAATGCAAATCAATGCTGTAACATAAAAAACTAGTATGAATCAAACAATACACAAATAACAATCCAAATAGATGCACAACATTCAGGTATGAAGCAAAAGCAGATGTTCATTCATACATATTGAAACTTCAGATCTATATGATCTGGTTGCCTCTGTATAGGTTTCTACAGATATAAAAAAAATATTTGCCAGGCGCTGGTGACTCACACCTGTAATTCTAGCTACTCGGGAGGCTGAGATATGAGAATCACGGTTCAAAGCCAGCCGGGGCAGAAAGTCCATAGACTCCTAAGTCCAATAAACCAACAAAGTAGCCCTGTGGCTCCAGTGGTAGAGCACTAGCCTTGAGCTGAAGAGCTGAAGGACAGCACCCAGGCCCAGAGTTCAAGCCCCATGACCCACAGGGAGGGGAAGGGGGAGAGTTTAAGACAGCTATAGCCACATTTGATTTTTTTTAACGGTGTGTGTATCAAGACAGTTATAAAAGATTTACTACAGAATCAAAAACCCATTTTTAGGCCTGATAGCAGACAGTTTCCAAATGTTGCTATTCTGTTGCATAACTATAGCTTAACTATTTACAGTAAAGTATAAATAGTCTTAAATTTAAGGATTTTAAAGAAAGCATCAGGTCTTACTTCCCAAATGTATACTTCACAGTTTTGGCTCCTTTACATATTTTCTTTTCTAATTTCAAGATCTGTAATTGTATCTTCAAAATAGATTATTTTTAATTGTGAAACTTATCCAACACATACAGAAATCAAAAGCAGCATTTTGAAATTAGTTGAGGCCAATGCAAGTCTACTCTTTGGAATCAGTTTGGCTAAATGAATCTGATACTCTTATAATGAGACAGGGAAAATACCCTATCATTATCTTGGCACATCAATTACTACATAAAAGTCAAATATACTTCAAGCTCCAAGACCACACACACCAAATCCAAAGCCCTACAGGAAAGGAAAAAAAATTATCTTTTTGCTAGTCCTTGGACTTAAACTCAGGGCCTGGGCACTGTCCTTATACCTCTTTGTGCTTAAGGTTAACACTCTACCACTTGAGCCATAGCGCCACTTCTGGCTTTTTTTTCTTTTTTGTCGGTCATGGGGCTTGAACTCTGAGCTTGGGTGTTGTCCCTCAGTTCTTCAGCTCAAGGCGAGCACTCTCCCACTTGAGCCACAGTGCCACTTCTGGCTTTCTAGTGGTTTATTGGAGATACGAGTCTCATGGGCTTTCCTGCCCAGGCTGGCTTTGAACCACAATCCTCAGACCTCAGCCTCCTGAGTAGCTAGGCTTACAGGTGTGAGCCACTGGCGCCTGACTCTGGCATTTTTTTTTTTTTTTTAGTAGTTTACTGGAGATAAGAGTCTCACAGGGACTTTTCTGCTTGGGCTGGCTTGGAACAGTAATCCTCAGATCTCAGCCTCCTCAGTAACTAGGATTAAGGAGTAAGCACTGGCCCCCAGTTTTGGAAGGAAAAGAGAGTTCCATTTCCTTGAGAGCTGTGATGGCTTAACAATGTGAAACTATCTAAAATGAATTAAGTAGAGCACCAGTGGCTCGTGCCTCTAATCCTACTATCCATGAAGCTGAGATCTGAGAATCAAGGTTCAATGCCAGCCTGGGCAGACTAATCTGAGCAGACAAATCTGAGAAACTCTAATCGCCAATTAACAACCAAAAAGTATTAATGGAGCTGTGGCTCAAACAATATAACACTAGCCTTGAGCAAAAAAGATCAGGGGCCATAGCCAGGTCCAGAGCTCAAGCTTCAGGACAGAGAGACACACAGACACACACACATATTTTTTAAAAGTACAGATCAATTTGTAGAGTGCCCTTTGTTTTTGATATTTGACCATAATTAGAGCATTTTAGCAAGACTGTTACAGAAGAAAAGCTGTGTTCTTTTCAGAGCCTTATGTCAGAAGCACCCAGTACTAGTTCATACCTGCACTGGTGACATTAACTGTGATCTTGTTTAAATGAAGGGCATCTACCTCATTTCTCCAATTTAAAGTTACAATTTTCCCTTTGTTATTATTAATAAGGAATTTATGTGGAGAAATATGAGACTACGTATGTTTAAAAATCCATGAAAACTAAAGGCAAGGAAAACAAATCTGTATATAAAACATCTATCCTACAATAAACCAGTCTCAAAGCTCACACTAATTAAATATATGTCAATGTACTATGAACCATTTAGTGTTTAGAGACACCAAAATATCTGTATACTATTGTTACTCAATAATGTGACTATCTAAGATTATGTTCCCAAGTGCTACCAACACATCCATATCAATGAGAGAGAGTACAAAAATATTCCCTATTTAAACAATGAACCAAACAGATGCCTTTGCTCACTTTTGCAACAAAGTACAGACACGCAGTTTAGTGTGGGTGTCTTGGCATTCACACTATTACTTCACCATATTCCACAGAGCAATCTAGCCACTTTATGAAGAAAAATAAAATAGTAAAAATGTCTATAAATG